TCCCCGCCGGGAGGGCTGCTGCCTGACCCCTCGGTGCGTGCGCGTCTCCATACCCGCAGGTCCGCACAAGTGCCCTGAGGGTGTTCTGGAAAGAGGCCGCCTTCGCGACGCACGAACTGACTTGTAGGTGACCTGGCCGAGGAGAGAACCATCACCTGCGCTGGCGGAGCCAGGTGGTCCCCAGGCCCTGATTGTCCCCCGCGTCTGCACCGCCCGGGAAGCTCGGGCGAGGCTGGTGCCTCCGGCTAGTGAGCAAATATTCGAAGGTTTGGGGACCTGCTCCGGTGGGGTTACCTATGACTCGGGTTGCAGGTTATTCCATTCTCTCAGCGCAGCTCCCAGAAGTCCACCGCCGAAGCCTTGCAGTAAGTTCCGGGAAAGCGCCGGGGGTCCGCACCCAGGCTCACTGTCTCCCCTGGAGCACGTGCTCCCGGCCCCCACTCGCCCCCCACTCGGGCCTCCGGGCGCACTCGGGCCCCACACGGTACTCAGGACTGGTCTGGGCTGTAGAGTAGTTCTGCACATTTCCTGATCTAATCATCCCTCCAGAAGATAAGTTGATTTGGGAGGGGTATGTTCACATACATGCAGAAGGCCGAGTCAGGCCCCAATCGAAAAGAAAATGCTTTGTCCACCAGAAAAAGGTTCTGTTCATCACCAACAGATTCCAGATCAAGTAATCAAATGCATTAATGTATTCTTTTTTCTGACTTGAAACAGGTTTGACACTAAAATACTATATTTCATTGTTTAATTGACCTGTTTGGGGGGTTTTCTAAATACAGGTCAAATTTTAACATTGTCAAGTATTCATAAGTTGAGCTAGCACACTTTTTTTTTTTTTTTAACAACAATTACATTAAACTCAATTATGCTTTACAAATATAGCTTGTTACTCATATAAGATAGTGCACCAAAATTCTACATTTCCAAAACCCTATTTTCTAAGTTTTATATCTCTGAAACAGTCATAGAAATTGGTTAATAAAGATAAACAGCACATTTAACTTGTACAGGTGTCACTTGAGCAGTCTCAGGTGCAAGTTATAATACAGCATTGACTTGTAATTTGTGAAAACGCTTGGTTAATATACCAAGGCAACCTTACAATGGGAAGATCAGAATTGTTACAAGTATGTTACTGTGAACCAATTGTATCCTTTATGTAAACCATATACACTGCCACAGACTATAAATATGAAGTAATATGGATGCTCCTGTGCATCTCCTTGTTCAGAGAGAAGTCTGAGTGGTTTCCATCATAATTAAGTTATCTGCTCTCACTGTGCCATAGGACGTGTCTGCCATTTCCTCTTCTTTTAGTTTCTTATAAGAAATATCTGTGTCTTCATCTTCATCTAGAGGATCTTGCTTGTGCAATATTTCACTTCCATACATTTTATATATTAGCACAAAAATCCCTGCTTCTGCAGACTGGAAAAGGGCATAGAGCAAGGGGAACATGTACATGCTTCCTATGAGCCGTGGTGGAAAGGCCAGTTTGAGAATGGCAGTGCAGAGCTGCACATTCTGGCTGCCCGTTTCCAGGCACACAGTCCTCTTGCAGTTGGGTGGGAGATGGAAGAGAGTAGCTAAGCCGTAGCCTGAGGCGTAGCCTGCTAAAGGCATAAAAATCGCTACTATGTAAACAGTTGCAGGAATACTTGCCAGCAGTTCAGGTCCTAACATAGTGCCGGTCATTATGAAAAGGACCACCAGCGTCACTAGCAGAGACCACAGGGAAACCTAGTAATAGAAAATGGATAATGAAGTCATCAAAAATAGGATAGTTAAGAGGAATTCAGGCTCTTGGAAGAAGAGACCCATCAACTCTGACCTCCCACACAGAGTGGAGATCTTTGCCATCAAGTCTCTGGCAGAGTATTTCTGGGATGGGCAGATCACCTCATCAGGAGGCCTCCAACCCACGTGGCACAGCTCTGATTGTCTGGAGGCTGGTCCTTATGTCTAGTGACAATTTGCCTTCTATAACTGCAAGCCACTGTCGTGGACAGGCCCTCAGGAACAACATAGACCAGCTACTCCTCCTGCAAACAGCCTTCAAAAGTTTACAAAACAGTTATATGGGGAAGCTACTCTTCCCCAGGCTCTGTCCCCAGGCTTTCAGCCTCCATTGCATAGCTCTATTTTGGAGTAGTGACTGTTCCAAGCACACGTTGAATTTGTGAATATGCCTCTGATTAACAGCAGTTAGAAATGAGCCCAATACACCAGGTATGACCTGATGAATAGAGTGTACAAATGGACATTACTCTCCCTGAACAGGACCTCATGTTTTCCATGAGAAATCAGTTCTGGTTTTACACCTGGGATAACAGGCTATTAAAATGTACGAAACCAAGTGTGTGATATTTTTCACCTTCAAAATACTTTAACAATTGTTAGCAATATCAAAGCAATTACTGACTCTAGGATCACTTAAGAGGGGAAGAGGTAAATATAAGATGTGAGGCATTCGTTGCAGTTTTGCCTTTCCCCCTTTTCATCTATCTATTCATGGAAACCTCCCACCTGTAAGTCTCTAGCGATGCTTTCGGATTATTATAGTAGATGGATTTTCAACATAAAATAACTGCATAAAACACTGTGTCATCGCCCTGGCCAGTGTGGTTAAGTGGTTAGAGCGGCAGCCTGCCCACCGAAGGGTCTCAGGTTCCATTCCCGGTCAAGCGCATGTACCTGGGTTGCAGGTTTGACCCCTGGCCCCAATAAGGGGGTGAGTCTGGGAGGCAGCCAATCGATGTCTCTCTCCTTTCCCTCCCTCTCTCCCTTCCACTCTCTAAAAATCAATGGAAAAAGTATTCTAGGGTAAGGATTAAATAAATAAATAATAAAACATTGTGTCATCTTGACTGGTACATTTCACTCATTTAAGTAAGACAGACTGTGTAAATAGCAAGGTAGGAACCTAAAAATTCCTCTCCTAGTTCTTCAGGTTGGGCATTAGGTTGTTTTTGTAAATGGGGCTGGAGTGTTTGTGAGGGAGACTAAGATCCAGGAGAGCAGGTAAAGTGCTGTTTCCTGTCCCTGGGCATCTGGGAGGAAGCCCCTTCAGGGGGTGTGGGATTGGCATATATAGTACTTTAGACTTTTTCAAAAATTAGTTAAAATTTGTCTGGGCTGGTTAAAAAGTCTACCCTAGAGGATGCTGAATATTTATTATATAAGGTACTCATGCTACCAATGTACAATCAGCAGAAAACAAACTTAAAAATCCAAACTTATATTGGCTGGCCGGGCATGGCTCAGGGGTTGAGCATCGACCTAGGATCCTAGGAGATCGAGGTTCGATTCCCAGTCGGGGCACATGCCCGGGTTGCGGGCTCGATTCCCAGTCTGGGCATGCAGGAGGCAGCCGATCAATGACGACCCTCTCATCATTGATGTTTCTGTCTCTCTCCCTCTCCCTTCCTCTCTCTGAAATCAATAAAGATATGTTTTTAAAAAACCACAACTTATATTAAGTTTCAAAGTGTGCCCACATCTAAAGCTTTATCAGAAAATCTGGATTTTCATTGTGGAAAAACTGGCTCCAAAGTTTCCTTTGCACTATTTTAAATCATTTGCGTGAGCACTGACAATCAATGCCCATTTTAAAGTGTTTGCAAAGGCATAAAAATGTTATAAAGCACATCCTATGAGTGTGCTGGTTAAGGAGTGGGGATAAATTCAGCTTAAACTCAAAGTTAGCCAATCTTACTGAAGTGTGTATTATTTAAATATATTTATCTGTTTTAGCACAGAAATAACTTATTTGATTGACTTTCTCTTAGAATCCTAAGGTTTTATAGTAAATATCATCACATCAATAGCATTAGCTCAGTTATTAAGCTTAATATGTTCTTAATGTATCTCCAGGTTGTCTACTGATATATTAAGAATATAAGAGTTATATGTATATTTACATGTACATATATATTTATTACATTCAAAATACAGTATAGACCACAATTCCTCTTACTCAAGGCTGGGTATATGTACAGAAAAGAACCCTCTGTTTTTTGTGTTAATAAAAGTTAGCAATGGCAATATAGTCTGCATTATATATCCATGGCCTAATTTTATTTTGTGCTTTAAAGTTTATATTTTGTGCATTCTATTATATTGCCATGATGTAATTTTTAAATTACTTTTGTTCTTATAAGTATCAACTTATTTTTAGAAAATTAATAAAACATTTTAAAGCAATCGTCCACAGAGTTCCTCAGAATCAGAGTTCCACCTTTAAAAAATAGAGTAATGAATTTCTAAAACACTGTACAAATTCCATTAAAATAATTTTATTTCCTGCTTGTTTTGTAGTACATGAGTTGTTAATGGAAAATGTTTCCATTTTATGCACTGCCATCCATTTCCCACATGATGTTTCCTCCTATGAGTATTGAGTTCTCTTGTGCTGTTTTTAATTGATCTGTGTCTTGATTAAGCTATAATTTTTGAAATTTGAAAAGGTGAAAGTTATCTTTGTGGCATAAACTTTTCTTAAAAAAGTGTATCCACACCCAGCCAGTGTGGCTCAGTGGTTGAGTGTCGGCCTAAGACCCAGGCGGTCACAGCTGGATTCCAGGTCAGGGCACATGCCTGGTTTCCGATCAATCCCCAATAGAGGGCGTGCAGGAGGCAGCTGATCAATGACTCTCACTGATGTTTCTATCTCTCCCTCTCTCTGAAATCAATAAAAACATATTTTAAAAAATTGTTTTAACCCTCACCAAGACTATTTTTTCCATTGCATTTTCAGAGAGATTGGAAGGGAGAGAGAGAGACACGGGTTGGTTGCCTCCGGCAAGCCTGCATCCAAGGTTCTGCCCTTGGCCGGAATCGGACCAGGGATCCTCCAGCCTCAGGATCTACACTTTACCCACTGAGCCAAACCAGCCAGGGCTAAAAAAAAATTTTTAAGTGTATCCGTGCAAGGACTGCCAAATCCCTTCCTTCCTTACCCCTTTCCACGCGTCCCAGCATTGCAGCCAGGGCTCCGACCAAGGCCCGGCGGCGTGTGGGGCCGGGAAAGGAGAGCGGCCTTACCTTGACGATGTAGTCGGCCACCCGGCTGTACCTGTAGCGGATGAAGACGCCCAGCCCGATGGGGATGAGAGTGCTGCAGAGGGTCAGGGTGACCGCCCCCAGGGGCAGTAGCTGCACCAGGGGGGTGTTGATCCAGGCCCGGCTGTAGATCCACAGGCACAGGGGCATCAGGACGAGGGCCAGGAGCGTGGAGGAGATGGTCATGATGATGCTGCAGAAACGGGAAGGCGCACGAGCCGCGTGGGCACCCCTCTATCTTGCACCGGGGTAGAGAGGAAAGGGGGGGCTGCGATTCCCAGCCTGAGGTCTGGGGAGCACCTGCTTCATCCCAGGCGAGTGCCAAGAGAGCTGCACGAACAAGTTCAACGGAAACACGACCCCAGGCAGGAAAAACAAACAAAACCAGTGCCCCGGGCACTGCCCCCCAGGCTTTGTAGAGCCTATGAAGGTGGTGACAGCCCCGATGATTTTGGGGGCGAGGGACATTTTTTTCTTTTGTAAGCCTTCAGTACACCCCGTTAGACACGGCAAAGCTGCTGAACTACTTGTTGGGCTGAACTCAGCGCCGGTGCCCTGGAGACGACTCCTGGCGGGACCACCCGCCCCGGCTTCAGGCTCCCCAGTTCTCTGTCTCCCAGGGGCCGGAGACCCGCAGCGACAGCCCAGC